AAAATTCATTAATTCAAACGGCATTAAAGAGGATTGCACAGTATTGATTTGCTGCTGGTACAAGCAGACAGAAGTTGGGCTGCCATGACGACAGCTGTTGAGCATTTTCTATGACTTTTTTTGATGGAAAGGTCCGCCTTGTCAAATACAACGGGCGCTGTCTGAGAGAAAATGTCACACATATAGAGAAACACACTGACAAACAAAGTGCACAGAGCTTTATGGACACATTTGTACAACATGGGGTAACACTGCTCTGTCCTCTAATAACATTTCAGAACACGCTCTTCACAGAGTGCCCTGGTCAACCTGACATCTGTTCAGCACATCTGTTCAACTCACTGACACACACACAAGGTTAGACACACTTCAGCACATGATGTTCATAATGAGCTGCATCTCTGTCTGCTGTGGATCAACATGTCTCCACCCGCAGCTATTTTTCCTTTAGCCTTTTCTTTTTCTCTGACCCTACAATAGCACTGGAACGATCCAAGGCTAGAAAAACAAATAAGCAGTGAGACGAGGGGAATCAGAAAAAAAGTAATATCCACTTCACAGACACGCTGCAGATGATTCCCGCTTCATCCTCCACTGTCTCTCTGCCTCTTTTCTCAGTTTCCCTTATTGTGGGAATGTATTACAGCTGAGATGCGTGTTCACTTGTAAGCAGGGGAAACATCGATTTTCTGTCGCCTTAGAAGATAGCCAAACAATGTAACAGTGTGTGGTGTGTGATGGGATGCTGTGTATGTCTGCGTGCCGTATCAACAAGATTAAACCAAGAAACATCTGAATAAAAATGGGTGCAACCACATATCTCGGTGACAGTCATACTACCCCACAACAAAAACAGACAAGACCGCACACCTTGCTCTGACAAGTGTTTATCTGTGTAGTGTTTTTATGCATCTGTTTGGTTATGGTGTAGGACTAAGGTTTTGCAAGCTGTGAAAAAAATGGTTGTCTGAGTTTATACTTTGGGTTTTGAAACAGTTTAAGATAATGATGAAGAATAAGGTGAAGGTTAAGGGTAAAGAGGGTAGTTTAGGAATGACTGAAAAATATGCTAATGAAAAACTATATAAATGTTTGTGTGCAATGTTTTTAAGAGATTTATGTCAGTGCTATTTGTCTGCACTGAACCATGCCCAGTGCTGTTCTTGTAAACTGAAAGCAATAAGTGTTTCATTCAAGATGTGTCTGATAAAAGAAGCGCCACTGTATGAATTAATTCTGCTTGTCCCTCTCTCCCACTGTTTTCCCACTTCCTCTCTTCTCTCAGGTTATGGTGGGGTGGAGTTACTGCTGGTGTTGTGTGGCTTGGATCTCTCTCTGCCCTGCCCTCGCCACTGCATCTGCTACACTTCACCTAGCA